TTTGCTCAATGTTAGTCATTAATAGCAACTTCTGCACATGCACAGGTCATTTGCTCACATATTTTGGAGTTTCCCTCATCTCAGCCTTGCACTGCTCTTGCTTTGTTTAACCACAGAGGAAATCATAGAATCACAGGATGGATTGTGCTGGAATGTCATCTAACCAACCTTCATGGCATTAAAATTTCTGGAGATAATCACCTGCCTCCGGGGACAGAAAATGAGCCCAGCCCCTGGTGCTGGTGTTTACTCTTGTCCCTGCATTCCAGAGGTGACTGGGAGGTGGCAATGGAAAGCCAGCCAGGGCTCTCCCTGTGCTTTGCTTTGGCATCTGCACCGGGGTTTAATTTGCATGTGCTTGACTGGAAAATGCCGTCATCTTCTTCTCTGGTCAGTGATGCCACTGAGCCCTTCTGCCTGGGGCTATCCCCCAGGAACTGTGGGGGACGAGCTTAAGACCAGGCTGGATGGGGCTCTGAGTATCCTGGTGAGTGGAAAGTGTCCCTGCCCATGGCAGGGGGATGAGGCTGGATGATCTTTAAGTTTCTTTCCAACCCAAACCATTCTGTGATTCTGTGGTTCTGTGAGCTGCTGGCTCTGACCTGTCCCATCCATCATGAAATGGTGGCCATCAGCTTCATATCCCAGCTCCTGGCCAGCCTGGATGAAGGAGCTCAGCTGAGTGTGGCCATGGCATGAAGGATCCCCCTGAATCCATCACATGGATAAGGAAAATTTAATTACATCCGTAGGATTTCCATCAATGCTGAGCAGCAGCAGGCTGGGTCTCGGGGGAGATTTTTCATTGCGCTGAAATCTGACTTTGTTAATTACCAGTCTCTGATCTCATTTGAGGGTTAAGTTTATGAAATGGAATCCTTATTTCTCTGATTTCCTTATTCAGCTGGTTTATTGAGTCTTGTACAGTGGATGATTTGGACCTTACAAACTCCGAGGGTGTCTCACATTTCTGGCATGAGCTGTGCAGGAGAAGCATTGGAGCAAGGGGAGGTGATGGAGATATGCAGAAGTCCTGGTGAAAGACAGAGAAAGAAAACATCTCAGGAAAACTGAAAATGAGGACAAAGGTCTGGCTGTCAAATTATAGTTTATTTTACCCCCAAAGGGAACTCCCCCTTCCCACGTGGGATGCTGATGGCAGCACCCAGAGCCCCCACCCCACCCAGCCAGGGAACATTGTGGTGGGGGGCTTTAGCAGAGCGATACCAGCCTTTGGTGCACCCCAGGCCGTTCACTTCCTCATGAGGAAAGCTTCCCATCCTCTGTTTACCCAGGAATCGCCAGACTTGGCTGTAGGCAGTAAGTAGAGTGCCTGGTTTTTATCTACACATCAAATTTACTTTCTTTTTTAAAGAGAAAATAGCCACTGAACAGCCCTTGAAGCTTGGGGCTAGTGTCTAATTCCACTTGAAGAGCTTTGTTAGAAAATTGCAGTATTTTTCTGAGAGAAAATAGAACAATCAAGGCCTGTAATTAAAAGCCATTCAGGCAGCTTTTATCCTTCTCTCTGCATCTTCATTTAGCAAACACAAAAGCCAACAAGGACTCACGGCACTATTTACAGTCACTATTCTTGGCCTTTGCCTTTAAATTAACTCCTCTTCCTCACTTCCAGTCAAAAGGAGGAGGAGGGAGAGAAATGTGGCTTGTGGCTTTTCAACTGGTGTTTCTTTGGAAAGATTTTTTTTTTTTTTAAGATGCCTGATATAATGGAATCATAGAATCATTAAGTTTAGAGAAGGTCAGTGAGTCCAAACTATCGACTCAGCCACACCACCACGTTCACCAGTAACCCAAATGAAATGCCACACGCACAGGTTTTGAACACTTCCAGGGATGGTGACTCCACCACTGTCCTGGGAAACCTTTTCCAGGGCTTGACTACCCTTTTGCTGAAAAAATATTTCTTAATATCTAATCAAACCTCCCCTGGCACAACTTGAGGCATTTCCTCTCATCCTGTCACTTCATGATGACAAAGCTGGAGCTCCTCTGGAGGCCTCAGACCTGCCATAGAATAAGAGTTTATCACCCCAAAACTGCCTCCAGGAAAAACCTCAGCTGCAGTGGTGGTGTGGATGGGACAAGACCCACACACATGCCCTGGGCATGGACAGGGAGCTGCCAGGGCCATGTCCCACAGCCCACAGAGGATCTCAGGTGACCTCCTGACTCACTGTGAGAGGGAATCCAGCCTGGGAAGTCTCCTTGCCTTCAGCAGCAGGTGGAAATGTCAAACCTTGATGTGCTGAGACCCTCTGAAGGCACCAAACTGGGCTTGTTCCTCCCAAAATTGGCAGTAAGCCTAGAGGGTCATTATTACCTTGGTTTATGGTGGGACCGTCAGTGGCTCATCAGCACTCAGGGGCTCCCAGCAGTCCCAAGGAAACAAGGTGAGTGCTACACACGTCAGGTTATACAGAGAAGGAACAAGTTCTATTTCTTGTCTTGATTTGAACACTATCTTCTGGATACCATTCTGCTTCCCATTTTTTACAGTCCAAGGTTTTGCTTATCCATCTTTAATTTTTATTTTCATATTTTCCTCACATCAAGATGCTTCTGAGTGCCAAGCCGTCAACTCTCAGTGGGGTATTATCTCTTTTCTCACCCAAAAATCGTGACCAGCCTTAGGGAGGCAGTGTAGGACTGTCTAAGACCCAGGAGATTGGAACTTCCCGAGAGGACAAGCTGCAGCACAGCTCGGATGAGGACAATTGATCCCAACAGCCAATATTGCTGCAGCAGGAAGACTTAAAAAGCAACAACTGCTTCCGATCCCCCGCCTTAGCTCAGATGCCAGCGTTGAAAGCCTGCAGTGGGAATATGAGCCCTAATTCCTGTTCTGGGGCAGGAAATGGCTCCCAGGGATGATGGAGCAGAGTCCTCCAGGGCTGTGTCCTCACGGGTGTGACAAAAAGAAGGCGATTCCTCCCCGGAGCAGGAACGGGGAGCTGCGTGCCTGCACCGCACCTTTGCACCCATTGACACAGCACACGCTGTCCCAGAAGGAAATCTCCCCGGCTTTCAGGCTGAGCTGATTTCCCTGCTCAGTGCACGGCTAGGAAGGGGTTAGGAGGAGGAGGGAACCCTGGGGGTTCCTAATTCAGCCTCCTGCGACCCTGCAGACCTCACACGGGATGCTTGCTTTAGGAGGGGATTTATTCAGTGAATCGTTCATGGGGTTTATTTCCCCGCTTCCAGCCTTCAAGATGCAGCTGATGTGGGCTGGTGTGACAAGCCAGCCCCAGCAGTGGGAGGAAATTCAAAGGAACGGGCGGGGTTTCCCTGGGGGGATCCTGTGCTGGGAGTGGGCAAGCATCTCCCTGGAGGTGTTTTCTGCTCTCCCAGAAGAAGCCTGGCTTCTGCCGCTGTGCTCCGAGAGCCTGCCCAGACTCGGGAAGCCCGAATTTGGTGGCTGCCCGCAGGAGGAGGGTGCCGGGCTGTGTGTGAGGCTGAAGAGGCTGCGGGGGATGCAGCGATGCTGAGCTGAAAGCAGCGAGTGCCGCTTAGCGCCGCCGGGCTGAAGCTCACCCGGAGCCTCTCTGGGCACGGCAGGAGACCTCGGCCGGTGCAAATCCTTCTCCCCTTGGAGCCTGGCACCCACCCGAAAGGCCAAGACTCGTGTCAGGTGTTTGACATGGAGAAAATCGTGGATACAGCAGGATGCTGCCACAAGGAGATGCTGGGATGGGGCTGCTCGTGCTCAGAAGGGTCAGGGGATACAAGCAAAGTCTGTAAGTGCCTGTGGAGGGTTCAGAGAGGAGGGAACCAGACTCTCCTCAGTGACGTCCAGTTACAGGAGACACGAAGTGAAACATGGAAAATTCCATTAAATCATAGGGAGGAAATTCACTATTAGAGTGGTGAACTACAGGATTGTCCACATTAGCTGTGTCATCTCCATCCTTGGAGACATTCAAACCCAAGCAGACACGGTGCTGGGAAATTTGACCCTGCTGTGATTCTGTGACTTTCATGTCTTGTGATTTAACAGAAAAAGCTCCAGCAATATCACATGTCGTGTCTGAAGTGGGTAACTCACACTGAAAAGCTCCTTTCCATGCAAAAAAATACAGTAATTTTTCTACTTAATAAAATATATTGCCTCTCCTAGAGCCCCAGTGCCAGTGAACAGCAATGTTTCAGCTGATTGGGCAGCTTGTGTGAGAGGTGACATAATTTGGGCCAGTTTTGGCACTCAGAGAGGTTTTTCCACCTGGGAAGCCCATTGCCAGCAGGTGGCAACCATGCTAAAGCAAAATTCCTGGAGAAGTTTTGCCTGGAAGAATGTGTTCTCCTTCATTGTTCTCCCACAGTTAGCACCTTTAATATGGAGAAGGCAACAGCGTGATCGTGTATCCACACATCTGTTTTAATTTTCTGTAAATGAAATTGCCATCCCGAGGTATTGAGGGTGGTCAGTTTTGGTGTAGGGGTGCTCAGGACACTGAACTGCCCCGAGCAGTCTCACCTGGTGTCTCCACCCACACCCAACCATTGCTCTGAGAACCCATTTAAGCTGAGAATTGCAGTCTCCTCTCCTTTTGTGTTACCTGTCCTGCACTTTCCCGGGAGAATTTGGACAGGTAAGAGCGGAGCTTGGTACCTGGGGTCGGGGGAAAGCTTAAAAGAAATATTATAGCTAAGATGACCTTCCTAAAATCAGTATCATACAAACTTCACAGGGCTAAAAGGTGTGAGAATGAGTTTTCCAAGCTTTCAATATGGAGTTTCTGACCTCCAGACTCTCCCAGTCAAGTCCTGGTTTTGTTCAAGTATTTTGATTATTTATCTGTGAAAGAAGAAACTTTATATCTGCAGTGCTCGTTAGAGCTTTTCTTATGACTTACAAAACATCTTAATTTTGTTACAAACCTACTGTGTTTTATTTTATAACAGGAAAAATGCAATATATATATAGCAAAGATATGGCACAAGTAGCGTAAATTATCCCTTGTGAAAGAAGGACCAGTCTCTTTTTTTTTTCCCCTATGAGGTTTATTTCATTACTCACTCTTAAATAAATATGTATTTGACATTTAACAGGAACAGCTTGTTCAAAATAATTTCTATCACAAATTCTCACAGTCGTTATAGTATTTGTATGGTGTGCTGTTTAGCACTTTTTTGAGACTCAAATCTTCCTTTTGGTCTAAATTTAACAAGTCAGAAAAGAGAAAATTTGTGGTGGGGTGGAAGATGGACATCCTTCAAAATCAAAAGAAAGCCATAACACACAGGAACATAAATGAACATTGAAAATAGTTTCTTTTCTCTTGCAAATACTCATCCTCTGTTTTATTGATGTTTCATTGAAAGTGCTCATTAGCTCTGCTCCATTAAACAATCCTCCCTAATAACACAGTGATAAAGAACTGAGCTTTGCACTCGTCTGGAAATTGGTCTCCAGCCTGACCGTGCTGTACAGCAGATGGCAATAAAAGACCACTCTGTGGCAGAAATACACCCCTGAAAAGGAAATGCTCTGTCCTTAATAGTTCAGAGGGTGCAATTAAAAATCAAGGTCTAGAAATCCAACTCTGAGATGTTAGTAGGAGCAAAGAGGGGAAATACAAGTGTTGCAAGTGGGCAGGACAAACCCTGTTGCTGATGAGGATTACAAACAGCGCACACATTACATATAAACAAAAGAAAGGACATTTGTGCATTTATTGACCACTCCTCCAGTCTGCAAAGTTGCCCATGAAAAGCCCCAGAAGGTCAGGGACCTGCCAGCTCCAACCCCCTGTTCAAGAAGTTCTGCATTCCAGCAACTTCCGGAAACTTTTCCGAAAACTGTCGTCCAGGAAAGCGTACAGGAAAGGATTCAAGCATGAATTGGCATAGCTTAGGCTGGTGATGAAGTAGGATATCCCAATGACCATGGAGGTTTGGGGTAAGTCAGTGGTCAAAGCCACGATGGTGGCCAGGTGGAAGGGGGTCCAACAGAAGAGGAACACAGCCAGGACTATGAAGACCATAATGGTGACTTTCTTCTTGGCTTTGTCCAGGGCTCTGGCATTGGAGTTCAAGTGCATGTTCCTCAGCTTGTAGAGCATCATGGTGTAGAGGATGCAGATGGTGGATACTGGAATGGCAAAGCCAAGGATGAGGGTGTAGATCCTGCTGGCTTTGAACCAAAACCTCTCAGGCTTGGGGAAATTGAGACCACAACTCTTGATCTCTAGGTCGTCAGTGTAGACATTGGCAAAGATGATGAAAGGGAGGACTATGATGGTGACCAGGATCCAGATGCACAGGCTGATAATCCTGGCTGCTCGGTACGTGCGGTGGGGCATCCTCTTGGACCTGACTGTAGCCAGTACCACCAGGTACCTGTCTATGCTCATCACTGTCAGGAAATAAATGCTGGAGAAGATATTGTAGTGGTCTATGGACAAGATGACCTTGCAGAGGATTTCTCCAAAGGGCCAATAGCGGAGGAGATGCTCTGCAATATTGATGGGCAAGACAAGGGTGAACAAGTCATCAGCGATAGCGAGGTTCAGGATGAACATGTTGGTCACAGTCTTCATCTTGGGGGCCTTGAGGATCACATAGATGACAGCAGTGTTGCCTGTGAGTCCCACAGCACAGATCACAGAGTAGATCACAGGCAGGACAACGTAGAAATCAGCTGCCTGCTCCTGGAGGGTGAAGTTGAACCTCATGGTGTTTTCCGGATAGCAGCTGTTGCCTG